GCGGCGCGTTGACCTTTTTAAAAATGGAGGTCATCGCCGATAGCCCTACTAAACCATTATAAATAAAAAATAAACTCTAAAAAACAAAACAAACAAAATATCACATCAAAGACTAGTTTTAATGTTAAAACTTAAAAATATATTCCTAATAAAGTTAAAAATAAATAAATTAATCAAAAAATAAAACTAAAAAGTCGACCCCTACCTAAGTATTAAAAAATATAAAATACTATAGCTACTTTTTGTAAATTAAATCTATATCTTTTAAGTTTGCAAATTTATCTATTATTTGGTCGTAAAATTGTGGGTATGCAGTGAGATTTGAAAGTAATTCTTGTTCTATTGACATCGTTGCTAAGCTTGAAAGCCGTTCTTGTGTCATTGTGTTCCTAAGGTAGGTTTTAATTCGACATAAAAAGTTTCCTTCGGCAGATACACTAAATTTAAAAGCTTATATGCTTCCACAAAAATTGTCTTGAAATTTTTAAACAATATAATATATTATCTAAACTTTTTTCAACACCTAAATTTAAAAATTGTTCATCTCTATATAATACAGAAAGCTCATTTTTTAGCCTATCTTTGTCAAAAATATTTGGATAACTTTTTAATAAACTCTTAAGTAAGTTGTCTGAAAAGCATTTTGCATATTCCGAATATTTTGTGCTATCAACTAAAGCAAGAAAACTTATGTTATTTAAATTTTCAAACCGCGTCTCTAATTGAAGAATTAAGCATTATTACAAAATATAAAATTTGCTTAATAAAAACTGCTGAATCTACCTTAGTGTGTTCCCCACAATAATTAAATAAGAAATTTTACTAATCGAGACAAAAACTATAAAAGATCAGCCAAAAGTTTTAAATTTAATTTAAAATTTAATCTGAATCAAAACAATAACGCGCTCTACAAACGCTTAGAGAACACTGGCATCCCACAATAGACGGACCCCCACAAGCGATTATCATCGGTCATGTGATAAAACCACCAATCAGAACAAGCCAAGCTAACTAAATTTCGCCTCATCTACGACTGAATTTCGCCTCTGTCCTAGCGACTCTCAACGATGCACGTTACCTTGACGCGCTTTGCGCCTGGATTTTTATTTACGCTTAGTATGATGATTGTTTTTTTACTTTTTATTGGGTAGAACTGTTGTAAAAATACACTTGTAATAGGCAAAAATTCAAATACAAAAAGTCGTTCGTTCCTTCATTTTAAGGGTGAGGCGTGGCCTCAGAGGCCTACCCTGACGAGCCGCCACTGATGGAACGCCAACGCGCTACAACTCATTCAAAATCTTATTAGATCCACTATATTGAGTCAAACGCACGACTTGGGTGGTAAAACAAACCTATGACGTATTATTTTTCTTTAAGTGCTTTTAATATAAAAGATAACATGTCTATGTTATTTGTATCTAATTATTATCTTTATTATTAAAATTGGAACACATTTTGAAACTTAAAAAAAACTGACCATTGCAAGCAAATTTTTCTATTAATTTATTTTACCGTAAAATTGTATATTTTTTATGAACCATCGTTTAAGTGCCTGACCAAGCTCGCATAAGCGACATATAAAAACCTATTAATGAGTTTGGTTTAAAATAAAAACGCTTGGGCAAATTTTAAAATGCAATTTAGCGTAACTGGGGCCCAGCGGATGGGCATTTATTTGGCACTTAATTAGCTGGCTATGAAAGCGTCATCTACGTATTATTTAACGCATGCATTTTCAGCATTACACATCTTTAGGACATTAATTAACTTTATGTTGGGCCGACTTTGCACTGTGAAATTAGTGATATAAAAATTATTAACGACTTTATTTAAAGCGATCTGTTTAACAATAGATTCAATAGTGAACGGTACTAGTTTTACATTAAACCATCATTTAGTTCTCAACATTTAAGTTTTAAAGTTTATAAATAAAAAAAAAATAAAAAATATACGAAATAAATGTGCGTTTGAGAAAGTGGCAATTAGACATTTTATTAAATAATAAGTAATATTAGGTATGTATAAAAATTAAATAGGTAGTTGATTGTTTGATAACTTTATTAATTGAAGACAAAGTTACAAGGGACATAAGTGCCAATTCAAATGCCTTATGGGGCATTGTTTTTAAGTAAAAAATAATCCAACGAAAACCACAAAAGAGATCAATAAATTGAAAATATTTCTGCAGATCTTTTCTCAAACCTGTTGCCATTTGGCAATAGACACTCAAGCCCTGCGAGCAACAGGTTTTCAAAAATTTTCAAATTTTCTTTAATTTAATTCACTCTATTTTGATATTTACTCTCTTAGAATAAAAATAGTCAAAATTTTACTATTTGTATTGGATTTCACTTTTAAATAGTTATTTTTAACATCATTGACTATTTATAAAAGTAAAAAGTTACTAATTTCTTTAATCGTTTTTAATTTTTGCGGCCAAAACAAATTATTGTTAAATGCATTTAGGTTCCATAAATGGCCCAAAAAAAAATGCAAACAGTTTAGCTCAAAACATCAACACAAAAAGATATTTAAAATATTTAAAATATTACAAATATAACTGATTTTTATAAAGGTAGCAATGGACAGACCTGTTTGGGTTTTGTAAAAAATATTTCTTATATTTATAGATAACAACTCTTTAAATTAATGGAATGACCCACATAACAAACAAATTAAAAATAAATAAAATAGGGATTACTTTTACTTAAAATTAAAACATTCATAATCCAAAAATAAAAAACAAGAAAAAAATCACACTTATTTTTACAATAAATAAATAATTTACAGAGTTTTGCAAGAATTAATAAATTAAATTGATTTAACTTATTTATTAGTATTTAGTAACGACATGATTTTAAATTGTCACTACCATATTGTTAATGTTAAGTTTTCCTTACTTTTCTGGTAAAACCATAGGACTTATTACAATGTCATAAGGCAATTTTTAGTGGACCATTTTATTTTCTACAAAAATATGCCATTTAATTTTTTTTAAATTACCGTTAATTTTTTGCAATTTTCTTGAAATTCATTGTTATTCTTACCAAAAATATTAATTTGTGAAACTGTTCAATTCAAGTTTAATTATAGAATTTAAAAATTATTAACAAACATATTTTTATAAAAAATAAAATGATGTACAAAAAGGTTCTATGACATTTTGTAATAAAACCGATAGTTTTACATAAAATTTAAGAACAACTTGAACGAGTAGATTCACCATAAAATTATAAAATACCATTTTTGTATAACATTTATAAATACCAGAACATATCTGTTATGAAATAAAAAAAAAGTTAAAATTTTGTCACTGTTATTTAAATAGGAAATAAAAAATCGCGACCTCTAATAATATTAAAAGCTGGAAGGGTTAGCTGCAGCCCATAAAGCCCACACCTTAATTTTCCAATGGTGTTACTACTACACATAGACCCTTTATAACTTAAACTCCTTTACAGTTATGCATTATAGCACATTAATATCTTACATTTTTTAACAACAGGATTTTTAGTGTTCCACTCTTAAACCACTTGCTATTTGGTGACCGTACTTCAAGGGTATCAGTTGGACGGCTTGCCGAAAAAAATGGGTAAGTGGCAGCGAATTAAATTAAATATTTATAAAACTATTTATTTTTTGACAAAATAATTATTTATCTTAATTTATGCTTATCGTATTATTTGCCTTTTAGTCCTAATATACACGATTGTTATGAATAACCTATTTTTTTAAATTATGCTAGCGATTAAAGATTCTGGTTATATTTGTAACAGCTATACCTTATGGAATGCAAAAAATTACATTAATCCGTTGCTTTATTACCTGAAAGGCAAACCAACATACAAGGATCACACAAATATACGAGTATAATACTAGTTCTATAAGTGTAAATAATAGGTCATTTTAATATTAAACCAATCCAAAATCCACCAATTATTTATAAATAGATATTAATGTCATTAAAGGAATGAAGTGTCAAAATTTTAGCCCTTTAGGTACAGCGGTTTGTTGGACTCAGGACATATATCTGTACATCAGAACCAAACTGTAATAGGCGTTTACAACCTAAATTTTCAGAAGAGCAAAATTTAGGTTGTAAACTTATTTTTTCTAGGACCACTATGTAAAAGTCACATTTCGTAATGGCATCGTTGCTTAGAAAATGAATCTTTTCATTGGCAAGGCAAAACACGAATGTAAAGTAACATTTCTGTGTGAAAAGTGACAGGTCTGTGTGAAAAGTGACAAGTCTGTCAAACACTTTTTAGGTTATTTTTTTTTGTATTTGAAAATAATAAAAAATAAAAGGGTCGTAGAAAAAACATTGTGCTTCACTTGTGAGAAAAGCTTTCTTCAAGCTCGTGTTAATGCACACTCGGCCTTGTGAGCAACTAAAACACTCGCATTAAAAAGTCGCTTTTCAACACTTGTAAAACAAATAACTATTTTCAACGAACATAAAGAAAGTATTAATGGTGCGGTTAATATAATTACCTACTTTTAGAAATGGACTTAATACTTTATGGCTTTGATGATGGATAAAGAGGGGTTGTAGGTAAATAACGTTTGCCTTAAATAATACTTAATACTAAACAACTGGACATAAAATTATTTGGCTCTAAAATAATTTAAAGTCCCACAAACGATTAAAAGAGCGGCTGGGATAGATATATCTGAGGTATAGACATATATTTATGTCTATACCCCAGAGCCAAACTGTATTAAATACATTTTTTTGAAATAACGTTTTTCCTAAATTTTTTCGCTCTTTCGTAAATAGAGCTTAATCCTTTTTACCGCTAAAAATAAGCCCATAGGCATCGGAGAAGCGAAAATATGTACGCAAAAAATGTGTAGTGTTATTTTAACAAAGTGGACAGTGGGATACAGATATGTTAAGATAATGGAAAGCTTATTTTAAAATTAAATGAATAGTTTCATAAATATTTTTTTACATTTATATATGTAACTGTATTACTTAATTGTTTTAATTTTAGGAATGATTGTGGCATTGTTTATAGTGGTGGCTATTTTATACATATATATTAAAGTAAGAGAGGATAATTTTCGTAAAAAATATAAAGAATTTTTCTCTTTACCATCATTATCAAGCTTGCCATTTTTGGGAAATTCTCATCATTTTATTGGACAAAGTAAGAATTAAAATTCACGAGAATAAGGTTGACAGTGCTGCATTGTTATTATAATTGCTTTTTTGTAATAACAATGTAGTATTGCCCTTATATATCGATGGTTATTTGACAAAACATCGTAAGCGACAATTTTGTTGAATTACTTTTTATTTTATCAAAGTGTCAGTTACGATAAGCTGCACATGTTAACATAATAGTTATTCCAATTTTGGAATCTAATATTGGTCAGTTTGAATATTTTTATTATTGTAAGCGCCTCTTCTTTTTAATTTGTTACCGATTTATAACGTAAGCGCCTATATGTTCCCGACAAATAATCGTAAGCAACTCCGAGACAATGTCTCCATGTCGCCATGTCATGGCGTTTGCGATTTAACATTGTGTCGCTTACGATAATATGGTGCTCCCTCCTTGATCTATCAAGGCGTTATTCCAGCTCTAAACAGTTTATCCGTGAGTATACCTGCATCGTGGTGATTGCTACCACAATCCACAATGTGGATTGTGATTGCTACCAAGTTTTAAAACAATATTTTATTTGATCAAAAGCTTATAATTCCTTTTTATCATTGCAATATTAATAGTTATCCTAATTATAATTGTTTTTACGTAGTGTGGTTCGTTAAAAGTGTTTTTTGTAGTAATTGTATGTTGTTATAACGTCAAATAATTTGACTCAAATTTATAACGGTACAATGACGGCCAAAAAATTTCGAACGACCTGTCATTCAGTTGATTTTAAAATGTAAAACTGCCTTTAGTGACAACTAACCTTACTTTCTGAAAGTTGTCAGTTTGACGTATTTCATTGTTGATTGTGTTGTTTTAAGATTAGATTCTCTGTCTACTTTTTGAAACTGCTTGTCATCTTGTTAAAAATGTCCCTAAGGGTTGGTTTGCACAGACATTTTTTTAAATGACAGAAGTTTGATGTTCGAAAATGTAACTTAAGCGACAAGACCACAGACCTACAAACAAGTAGTAGTAGTAGTAGTAGTAGTAGTAGGTCTGTGGACAAGACTAATTTTACATGTTCTTATAAAATATAATGAAAATTTAGATTGGATTCGATCTAACTTAAATATTTGAATTCTACATTAATAAAATAATGCCTTACCCGTTTTCAGATAAATAACTTTAAAAATAAAGCTCCCACACAAAAAAATCTCTCCTGTAAAATTTAGGTTTTGTCGCTTACGATGTTTTGTCAAATAACCATCGATATTAAAAAAATTGGACACGTAATGCCCATTGTTGTGTATTGTAAGTAAAGCATACCATGTGTGCCGTACTGTCAAGTGTGTTTTGTGTATTTTGCTTGAAAGGGAATTTCAAATTCAATATTAAAATACAATGGTGGTTTGTTCTGCAATGGGTTGTAAAAGTTATATAAGTATCGATTTCTATAATAATTAATTAAAACTCAAAATTCGCTTTTTAAACAGCATCTGTTAAACCAGTTTCTAAATAAATAAATATGCGGTCTATTATTAAGAATAATATCATTTAAAATTTATTTATAACTAAATTATGCATAAATAAATTAAGTAAAAATCATAAAACAAATAAGTCATCTAAATGCAAACAGCGACAGTCTTCACCCTACGGTAAAAGACCAAACACGGGTATTATATTATGTATAATGTACAGTGTGGTTTTCACTCATGGCATAAAAATAAAAACCTCTGACACGTAAACTTTAGTTTTTTATTTAAAACCGTACAATTATAATTTTAAATTGTTTGCCCCCACCATTTTTGGGGGTAAACAATTTTAAAACAAAGCGAGCGTTTTTAATAAAAAACAGTTCTAATTGAATAACGAATTGTGACGAAGTGGGTATCACACTGTATAATAATAATTAGTTCGTTCTGGACCAAAAAATATACATACCGAATTCGATTCTTTGGAAAAACATGAAAATGCAACTTCGAATTAGTTCTTAAATTTACAATTAAAAACACAATAATTTACCTTAGATCGCTTGGATAAAAAATACTCCTATATACCTATAAGCATATAAAAAATAATTAATCTAAATTAAGTACTAAACCAAGCAAAGTTTTTTGTTTATGCTTGCAATGCAAAACGCAAATAACGTGCGCGGTTAGGCTGGCAATGGCAACTTGGCAAACAAAATTGGTCGAGTATGGCTTCTGCCATCCTCTCTTTTTTTTTTAAGAAACTACTTATTTATTTAAAAATGGTTCGGTAATTAACATGTATTATTGACACTGAGTCACTGACATAGATTGCACTCTAGTGATGCTAAAATCTTTTTTCAGGGTTTAAATTAAATATTTTTATACCCAATCAAATTTTTCACCATTTAAAGACATATTGTACTTGTTTTTAGTTCAATTCTTATCTCCATTAAAATTTTTCATTTAAAGAAAAAACAATGATTTATTATTTTAGATGTTCTTCATATTTTTTTGAACCTTGTAAACACTTGTGGAGTTCCATGTTATGTCCATCTTCCAGAAAGATTTTATGTGACCGCATCTCCAGAGGAATATAAAATAATCCTAAATCATCCAAATAGTATAGAAAAAAGCACAACCTATAATTTTTTAAATAATTTTTTTGCGAGCAGTCTTTTATTGGCACCACGTAAGTAATTTAAAAATTATACAAAATTAATTCATCATTCATAATAGCATACTAGTATATTTTTTCTACGTTTCCAAAAATACCATACAAAATAATTTAATTTGGAGAAAGTGAGGTTGGATCGGTCTTAAAGTTGTTTAATAATACAAACCGATGATAAAATTATTCATTCTGTAACATTTTAAGGAATATATTAAACACAATTTAAATTTTATTTTGTTCTAGATCATCAATGGAAGAAAAACAGAAAATTCCTATCAAAAGGATTTAACCAAATGATACTTGACTCATTCGTAACTGTATTTTACGATAAAAGCCAATATTTAAACGTAAAACTAAAAAATAATGATTATAATCAAAATGATATATATGCTTTATTTGAGAAGTATACATTGGATGTTTTTTGTGGTCAGTAAAAATTAAGATGTCTGTAACATTTTTAAAACATATTTTTTTAATTTTAGAGGCAACACTTGGAATAGAAACTAAAGTAATAGATGAAGACGAAAGTGATCTTGTTAATTTTATAACAAAGTAAGTTACATAAAAAACCTCCAATATATTTTATATATTTTAGGTGATTTTAAAAGTTATTATCCTATTTAAACAAAATTTAAAAAAAGTTTGTCTCACACTACGAAGATTTGTAAAAAGTAATAACGATTTGAAAATTAATAACGATGAAAATATCGTCACGACATTAGCGCTGATCATAAGCGTCTATGTAAAACGTTACTAAATATCGTAAAAGGTTTGGGTCGGATTTGAAAATAATATTAGGTTTAAAAAGTAGGAATAGTATATTCTGTCAAGTTATCTATGAAAAAAAACATTGTATTAAAATTAAACTAATAGTACACTCAGACAATTTTTTAATACATATAACAAAAAAAGTAGTTTGTCTTGTAAAGATCCCTATTCGTCCAACAATTGCTTTTGTTACGGCAAAAATATCATTTTTATAAAAATTATTTATCTACAAACGCTGCTTTCAGTAATAGCATTTGCATTAATTATAAAGTAAATTTACGTTATGTTTATAAAAATAAAAGTCTTCCAGATGCGGAAACGCATTGATAAATATAGTTATTATGATTTTTCCAAAAAAACAGTTCTATACCGTTTACAAAAACGTTTTGTTGTATTAATGAAACTCAAATGGTATTAAATATAAATTTTGTAAATTTTACAAATCCCTTTTGGTTTAAAATAAAACTAAAATATTATTTTATTAATCGCTTACAAAATTAGTTTCATTATCAGTGCATGTACATTTTTCTGAGTGTCAATTACTATAAGTTTCATTTTATTATAATGTTTTTTTCATGGATAACTTGACAGAATAAATTTATGTAGTTATTATTGTGCATTTTTCTACTTAAAATTTTTTAATAAAATTAAGTAAAGGGTCGTTTTGAGGGGTGGTGAATCCAGTGCCGTGCTTAGATTTCGTTTAAAAGATTTGCTGATATAAATTCTTAAAAATTTACTCTTAAAAAACGGACGAATAAATATCTCACGGTGCTGTTCTGAGAGGTGATTTTTGGACTTTCTGTGAAACCTAATTTTTTTATATATTCTTGTTAATTAGGTCATAACTAAAATTTTAAGAGCAAAATAAAAAAAATTTGACGGTTAATTTTGTTTTAATTGGATGTTTATTAAAAATATGTATGCACACTTTCAATTCTCCAATTAAAACTTGCGATTTTATTTAAATATTATCATAACTTTTTAAATCAGATTAAAGATAAGTTAATTTCCTAAAAAAAGGTCTATACATTTTTTATATCTTTTACTGTTTTGTTGTAATACACGTTTAAAGTTTTAATTTAAGGTTAAATGTATAGTATGCATTTATTAAACAATATTTCCAAGGGTGCCAAATTTTATTTAGGGCCGATTTATTCACTTTTGATTTATTTGATGAATAATTTCTTTGGATACTAGATATTGCCAAGACATGAAAGTTATTGGCCCGATAAACTTTACTAAAGATGAATAAACCCTTAGTTAAATTTCAAGAATTTCTTCGTAACTTTTACTGCAATTTTTCATTTTTATTTATAAAAAACACTTAAAAAACTAAACAAAAAATACAGAATACGTATACTGAAAATGACAATTCAAACATCAAATAAATTTTTAATAGATCTAAGTTTCATGGCAACCTTTAATGATATATTAATTAAGGGAACATAAATGTATACGTCAAAGGTTAAATTAAAAGTTTGAACGTTTATTGCAACAAAACAGTAAAATATATAAAAAAATTGTAAAAACCTTTTTTTTAGTTATGCAAATATTAAATATTTAAATTAAATCGCTAGTTTTAATTGGATTATTGAAAGAGTGCATAATATTTTTAATAAACAGCCAATTAAAACAATTCAAACCGTCAATTTTTTTTTATTTTGCTCTTAAAATTTAAGTTATGACCTAATTAACAAGAATATAAAAAAAATTAGGTTTCACAGAAAGTCCAAAAATCACCTCTCAGAACAGCACCGTGATCTGTATGTATTTACACATACAAATTTGTCACTTTGATACAGATTCTCAAGTTAGAAATTAATACGCGTGTTACTCTATTTTTTTATAGATATTTAATTTAAATCATATTTGTCGTAGAAAAAGTATTGTATGCAACTCGTTTATAAACTTTTCTAGACACTCATTTAATTAAATACTCGCTCGTAAGCTCGCGCGTTTATCAAATTTGATACATAATATACTATTATAATGCATTTTAAAATTAATAGAATGTTATTGTTTATTTTTAGAAGTCAAAGGATTTTAATAGGAAGAATTTCAAATGTTTTAAAACATTTTGATTTTCTATTTAACTTAACAGAAGATGGCAAATACATTAGTGCAGGTTCAAAACTCTTTTATAACTTTGTTTTGGATGTATGGTCATATAAATTATTATAAATAATAAAAAATTAATTTAAGTATTTTTAGATAATTGCCAAAAAAAGGAAAATGATAGCTGAAGGTAAATATAATATTTTAAAAATTAAATTTAATAAGTCATTCCATACAATTTATTAAAGATGTTATGGCACGAACAAATAAGTTACCGGTACTGGATTTACTTCTGTCGGAAAAGGAAGATTTTGACGATAATTATATAAAGGAAGAAATGTTACTATTTGCTGGCGCTGTAAGTACCTACACTATAATAAATCCATTATTATTCAATACTTTAGTATCTACCAGATATATACATAATATAGGATTTTTCATGATAATTGTTTACAGTCCGTTTTTACGTCTCCGTTGCATTTACGTTACGTCTACGTCTAACTATAAATCAGGCTTTAAGTTTAGGCCCAAGAGTTTGGGAATCATTACCTACTAAAAACACAAGCGGTCAATTTCAAAATGCCAAAAAATTTTTGGTAATCATTTTTAAACAGTTCTCTCAGTCTCGACAAAACAAATATATTTTGTGAAAATGGCCACATTTTTATACCAATTTTTGTTGTATTATTAAAACCACAGACTACCAAAACAAATAGACGGATTTGTTTACGTTTAAAAAGCGAGTAAAGCATAGTTTCACATTCTAAACACCGTCGAAAGAAACACGGCTTCCAACGTTGTCAGAAGTATAGATTACACGCCTTTTTTGACGTCCATCATAACATAATGAACATTACCAGTAATTTGTTTGAATAATAAAAAAATTGTAAAAAGGATTTGTTCATCATTTTCTTTAGATATTTTTTTCTATTTAAAGACAGTAAATCATTTAATAATTATTAAAATTAAATATTAACAACGTTGGTAAATTCGTCATATATGACAGCATAGAAAAAGGTTGACAGCTTGTTGTTTTGTGTTTTCGTTTGTGTATTTCTATCGTGTTTAAGTTAATTATGGAGTTTAAATACATTATTTTTTACTAAAAATAACAATACATGGAAATATCGTTTGTAAGTACCTACCTACTTATTATTTTTTTAATCCCAATACGTCACTGGAAGAAAACATAAAATTCTATCGCCAATTTAACGCTTAGACTGTGACCGTTTGTTGACGTCACTGGAAGAAAACATAAAATTCTATCTCCAATTTGACGCTTAGACTGTGACCGTTTGTTGACCGCAAACAAAGCATTGTTATTGAATGGCAATGCGCCGTCCATTTGTTTTGGTGGTCTGTGATTAAAACTATCCATACACAAATAATTTTTACAGAATAGCATAACATTTTTTTAATTTTTTGCTCTTCTTCATCATTTTTTTACGCTTCTGCATAAACCAGTTGTTTTAACCGTTCTCATAAAAAACTCATAATAGTTAACTTAAACTTTGTGGAGGCCAAAACATTATGATATTCCTCCTCATCCATTTTTCGCCAAACTTTTTTGTAACGTTACAAACGTTACAAGAATAGTGTGATGGAAATCATGTTAAAAGTACATTAAATTACAATGATTTAATGGCAGTTAACACAGTTAGCACCTCCAAATAACCCTGCTGATTCAAATCCCAACTTAATCAGCGTTACCAGATTTTGTCAAAAAAATAATAGATTTTGTGTGAATTTGCCTTTACTAGGAAAATTTACAATTTGACGTAAATTAGTAAATTTTTCAAGTAAAGTTAAATTCGCACAAAATCTATTACTCTTTTTGGCAGAATCTGGTAACGCTGAACTTAATACTGCCCAATCACGGCCATGATATGGTATTATCGCAACACGTTACTTTTTTGAAAAATTGTCTTTGGGCAAGTATAGTAAAACGAGGATTTCGACTGCTCCAATATTCACAATGTTGGGATAAAACTACACCATTGGTGCTAAATAATAATAATAATAATAATACTAATAATAATAATAATAATATATCTTTATTGCCCAACAGTGAAACCATAATAAAAAATGACACTTAAAGTATTAAAATTAATATCACGGTATTTAGAAATCTTATTGAAATTTTGACACATTGATTTATTCGCAATATTGGTCCTAGCTCTATCATTTTTAAACGTTATTTGATTTCTAAAGTTTATACGAGGTATATTAAAATTTAATTTTTCCAATAAGATTGAACAATCAACTTTGGCATTAACAATGTTATACAAAAAAGTCACAGAGACAATAATTCTTCTCATATCCAAAGAATTAATATTAAATAATGACAAAAGTAGTGCATGATCAAATTCTTGGACAGGATAGTTACCATATATTTTAAAATGAGGTCTTAAAAGTTTTCTCATTTTTAAAAGTTCTTGTGTTTCGAATCAGAAAGCCTAAGGATCTCAGTGACGAGTTTATAGTTTTTTCTCTATGTGTAATAAAATTTAACTCGGGATCAAACTCTACACCTAGTTCCCTAAAAGCCGAAACATTTTCTAATTTGCAGTCGTCGATACTATAATGTGCATTCATCAGACAATAAAACGAATCTATAAACATTTATTTGATCAAAATTTTATCTCCCATCAGTTCAGTTCAGTTCAATTTTTTTTTAATTTTTATTATTTTTCTAAAAATCAATTTTCAGCCACATGAGAAACTCTAATTTTTGGATATTTTGCACGAGGTAAACTTATTTCGTAAGACCACTTTATTAGGAGTCTACTGAATGACTTAAATTGGTCCCAATTTAATAACTTAAATACTGATGCTAACACTCTAGCAAATTTCATGGTAAACAACTACAAATCACTAATAAATAAACAATTTCCTTTAAAAAAATATACAAATAATAAAAAAACACCTGTACTATGGTTCAACGGATTACTAAAAGAAATTAGAAATACCCTATATGCCTTAAAAACTGTTTATAACACTACAAAAAACCCATTCGACCTAAATAAATATAACAAACTAAAAAAAGACTACAAAACTCAGATATTAAAAAGTAAAAGGGAAGCAAGTGAAAATTATATAATTAACTCAAACAATAAAGCCAGGGATACTTGGAAGTTAATTAATTTTGAAAGAAATAAAATAAAGACTCAAATACGGATCCTACCTTCACACCAGATGATTTTAATACTTTTTTTGCTCCAATAGCTGAAAATTTAATAAAAAATCTACCAGACACCAAAAATGCTGCACTAAACTTTCTGAGCGGTATACCGCTTCATATATGAATTCACCAGCTGGTTCTTTTTTCATTGACCCGGTAAGCACTTTTGATGTCCATGATGCTGTCATATCACTAAGCGACTCAAAATGCCCAGATGTATATGAAATGAATAGCTTTTTTTTTAATAAATGTTTTGAGGACGGAATCTTTCCAGATTGTCTAAAAGTTAGTAAGGTTATTCCACTTTTTAAGAAAGGAGATACTAAAGAAATAGGAAACTACCGCCCAATCTCTATTATTCCTGTAATTGGTAAAGTAATCGAAAAAATATTAAAAAATAAACTTGTCAAATATTTATACAATTTTAATTTATTGGATGACTGCCAATTTGGTTTTCGCTCTAACAGATCTACAATCAACGCAGTCTCCAAAGTCATAAAGGACATTTTAGAAGGTCTCGAAAAAGGAACTATTGTATCGCTAACTATGTGCGATCTGTCCAAAGCTTTTGACTGCGTCTCACACTTTCTTCTATTAGAGAAGCTAAAATTTTATGGAATCAAAGGCAAATCTTGGGATATACTTAAATCTTATCTAAATAATAGAAAACAACGTGTCTATATAAACAACTGCCTTTCTGAAACAAAATTGATACCATATGGGGTTCCTCAAGGTTCCATAATGGGTCCGGTTCTTTTTATAGTATATATCAATGATCTTTTCTTTAACCTATTACCCAAAAAAAGTGTGGCTTTTGCTGATGATGTCACAATGATCGACTATAATAAGGATCTAATTTCACTTAAACTGTCTGCTAAAGAATCTGAGACTACTGCTTTTGACTGGTTTACGCCTAATAAATTGGCAATGAACAACGACAAGACCCAGAATTTAATTTTTTCAAATAATTCCAACGTTACCAAAGGAAATCACGTAAAACTCCTAGGTATCACAATAGACGATAAATTAGACTGGAAAGCGCATATTGAACAACTTGGCAAAAAACTTTCCAGTTCTATTTTCGTAATTATAATATAATATATATTTTTATTTGTGAACAAAACATATGTATTTTTATTTACTTAATATTCTCTAATGGTATTGTATACTTTTTTTTTGACCTGTCACAAACATATTGTAATATTGTAATGTTGACCAATAAATTTATTATTATTATTATTATTATTATTATTATTATTATTATTATTAGGGTGGTTGCTATGCAAATAGGAGTTTTGATTGATTCAATAACGAAATAGATATTTGTGTATTAAGAGCGTAAAGTGATATATTATCGCTCTAAGCGAGAGTATACAGTTTTTGACAATGTACGTAGCAGTCGTATATAAAAATAATGTTTTGGATCTTTAATTGTTCATAATTCGTTTTAAATATTGGTCGAAAGAGGAAATTACACTCGCGTGTAACCGGACTTGCTACGCTCGTGCGGCTAATTTTACGTTTGAGGAATCTCCTCCTTCTCCCACTAGTCGCACAATATACTAAATATTAATTCATTTATTTTTCCAGGCAACGGATACCACAGCTTATTCAATGTCCTACACATGTTGTTTATTGGGAATGCACCCCGAAATACAGGTTTTTATATATGGGCATTTATATAAATAATACAAATTAATACATATTATTGTATGCAGGAAAAGGTATTAGAGGAGGTTATGGACGTCATTGGAAAGGACAGAGACATTACGTGTAATGACTTACATCAACTAAAATATACAGAAATGGCTATAAATGAGTCAATGAGGCTAATACCAACGGTACCAATGATTGGTAGAAGAGCTGTGGGAGATTTAGACTTGGGTATTTTTATTTTATTAATGTATGGTCCTAAAGTACTCTAAAAAAGCTATTTTTTAACTTTATATTGCATAATTTACATCATATAGAACAATAACACATTCAAATTTAACATAATGGATATCTTCGATATCTCCCAATTTTCTTCTTACTTGTTCTATCATTATCTGGACAACAGCTTGATCAATTTCTCTTAAAATAAATCCACAGATTTTAAAAGTTTAATAAATAGGGTTGAATAAATCCGCTTTTAAAAATGCCACCACATCACACTAAAACTTGGTGTTAAAAATTTTTTTTACCTTTAAACATTATCTGATGTATTTTTTACGTCGTCGGTAAAATCTATCGTTCTTTTCATCTCTGAATGGGATAAAGTAAAATATTTCTCAATATTCATAACAATCATACAACATCTGTTAATTCTTTCTTACTGAGCCAAAGTATATTTTGGTGCCTTTCTTCTTTTTTGAAACACCATATTATATCGAGAAATAGTTTTTAAAACTGTCCTAAATTTTTGCGCTTGAGTGGTTTAGGATTTTCGGTCTACTACTTTTTGGTAAATTAAAGCAAGGTACACATTATTTAACGGCCGGTTTATCAATGTCGGGTTAAGATTGCAGTTAGTTATCTGGCAGATAATATCCATGGATACCATTGTTCTCTCAACGATCGATATGGAATTTAACTGTCTGATAGACTACTGGAACTAAACCAGAGATTGATAAACCGGCCCTCCAATATAAAAATGTTCGATTTTAAGATAATGTCTGTACTACAATTATTTTTTGTTACATTTCTTAAAAATGTCCAAACTTAAATATAAATTATATTAGGTAAAGTTGTCCTGCACCAACAAATATAGGTATATAACAAATTGAATCCTTTAGCAAAACATAAAAATGCAACGATTTAGTTGTTGAATTTTATTTACAACTAAAAACACAATAATTCACCATGATCACTTAGATAAAATATCCACACTAACGTAACAATATAAGCATATAAGCGTTTTTTAATCAAGGAATAATAAATAGAAATGGAGTACTAAACCAAAGTTTTTTTAGTTTTTACTTGCAACGCAAAACACAAATAACGTGAGCGATTTGGCTGAGCTATTGAAAATTGAAACTGTCTAGTAAGACTTTTGCCTTTCTTTTTTTTGTGAAAAACTACTTATTTATTTAAATATAATGTGCATTATATTGTTGACATTTCTTGAATTGTCAACAATGCTATCGAACACCACCAGATGGCGTGCGCGATGCTTCTTTAGCATATTAGGACAAATTAACTGTGGCGTTTAATTTTCAGTGGCAACTTGATTCGACGCCATTTGATAGTTAAGGAAGATTTTAAAATTTTCCGGAAACTTTAGGACCATACGTTAATACAAATTACACAGTGCAAAACTACCTGGACGCAGTTTGGATAGATAAATAGTTCTATTTTCGTTGAAAAAAACCCCCGATTTTAAAAGTTTAGTTTAACTTTAAAAGTTATAGCAGTTTGGATAACTCATTTGCTTAGTATGTATTTATTTACTTTTGATTTTTTTGAGTAATTAATCATGTTATGATGGATTTTAAATTGGTTAGATAAGTACGAACTTCCATATATATATATATATATTTGGGTGGTCCTTATTTAGGGTGTGTTCGAATTTTTCTTCACGATAGTCATAAATAGGTTCCAAATATATAAAAAAAATATTGTGCCAAATTGCAGCTCTTAATTTTATAATTAAGCCGGCCCCCCCGACAGCCAAAGTTTTAAATGCAAATAACATGGGAAAAGTTTTGTTATTACTTTGGATTTTTTAAGTTATGAACTAATAAACGGATTATATAGAAGGATAAATATTCTTGTAACAAATTTAACGCTCTACAAAAAAGGTTTCTTGTGATTTTTTGCTAACTTAACTGGTTCAAAAGTTATTCGAGGTCAAAATGGAAGTTCTAGTCAATTCTATGTTTATTTTTCCATTTTCAACGTGGTTTAATGATTCAAAAATTTAAAAAGGGTTTTAATTTATATTTTAGATGGTTCTATTTTTTAGAAAACTTTCAGGGTAATCGTGACCCTAAAAAGTTAGTTACACCAATTGTTTTTTTATTTTTGCACTGTCGTAACTTTTAAGGATTTTTTAAATTTTGGGATACGCAAGATATTTTGGACATAGGTATTGTTAAAAGATTTTGATTTTAATTGGTAAAAATTTTGATAAACTCTACTTTTAAATTGAAACTTCTTAATCAAAACATTGCTGTGGCTCCCGTCCCGAGGCGGGACTTAAGTTTAGTCCCGAGTGACGTCATAATTTTAAGATTTGTTATGTTACGATAAAACTAAAACAAACCAACCAACCCAACACTTTTTAACAAAGGAACAACAAATTTATAAAATTAAAAATTAAAAAAATTCGACAACTTCTAGTAGTATTGAACCCGGTACCTCTAGCATGCCAAGCGACCGCCTTACCATCTGATATTTTTTTTAATCCATTGAAATTTTAATAATATTTAATCAATAAATATTTTTCTTTTTAGAGCAAACGTCAAGATAAGAAAAGTCATCTAGAATATAAATTATAACCCTTTTTACATTTTTGAATCATCAAACCACAATAATAAAAATGGAAAAACCATGGAATTCATTTGATTTTGCCCTCAACTAACTTTTGAACCAGTCAAGCAAAAAATCACAAGAAACCTTTTTTGTAGAGCGTTAAATTTGTTACAAGAATATTTATCCTTCTATATAATCCGTTTATTAGTTCATGACTTAAAAAAATCCAAAATAATAACAGTATAACTTTTTAGAGCTAAATTTAAAAAAAACTTTCGGGGTTTTGGTCATATATTTTGGTTAGCCTAAAGTTGTTGCATACTGTTTTCAATAAAATAATTTAATTTAAGGAACTAGGGTTATTCCGGCCAATACAGATGTTATTTTAATGTTTATACATACGCATAGAAATGAGAAATACTATCCAAATCCAAAGAAATATGATCCTAATAGATTTTTACCCGAGGAAGTTGCAAAAAGGCCACAATATTCTTATTTGCCATTTTCAGGAGGACCAAGAAATTGTATTGGTAAATATTTGATGAAAACATATTTTTACTTAAGTTTGCTGCAGGATTGACAACAACTTCTTTGGATTAATTTTGGTGAACTGAATCTAAATAAAAATGACCATGAAAATGATCACCAAGCAAACTGCTTGATCAATTCTTGTTTTTCCAATATTTGATATTTGGAAAATCCAAAAATATGAAAATTTCGTTGGAATTAAAATCATAATTTTACTGTGCTAAATGAAATTGAAAAATATTATTGAGCTACAAATTTACAAGCCCTTTAGGGGGTGGACCGATCAAAATTTAAAAATGAACCTTATAATGACTCCCTAATATACAGGGTAATTTATCTGATAAATTGGAGGTTTAATCGAAATTTTGGTTACAGTTATAGCAATTCTTTTCTAAAATATGTTCAATGCGCTGTCATTTAGTCACAATAACTTTGTTTTTTCAAACGTAATTTTAAAATGTTTTTTCATTTAATATTTTTTCGAAAAAAATGTTTTTTTTTGTTTTTACCATTTACTTTAGTACTGAATCTTGCAGTACTTCAATTTTTAATATTAGTTTAAAAAACAATTTTATTTCGTTTAAAACCCATTTTTTTACAACAAGAGCTGATTAATCAAAATGATGGTCAAATTATCCTAAAAAAGTTAATGTCAACCCTGTAGCAAAATGGTTGCTGACCAATGTTATTTTATTATAGGCATGAAATATGCAATGATGGTTATGAAAACAACAATAGCTAATATTGTAAGAAATTTCCATATAACGACGAAACACAAGTCAATTGATGAATTAGAGTTTGAGTCCAGTATTGTAATGACCACCAAAAATCCATTGGACTGCCATTTTACGCCTAGAAAATGAGAAATAGTCACTAAATATGTTCCCTTTATATTTCCACATGCTTAAATAAATAAAATACTTAAAACACTAAACAGTTTTATTATTTTTTCTGCTCCCACCTTTAAAACGCCCTTTATCGTACATGTTTCCATGACACTAAGTGACTTTTTAAATACACTGACAAGTTCTGGCTTTAGGGCGCTTTAGTCACGGGCTCAAGTTAGCAACAGGTTTTTAGTCACGGGCTGAAGTAAGTTTTAAGTAAGTTGACAGTTGTCAAATGTCATACAATCGTTAAAATAAATTGCCTTTCTTGTAAAATAATACTAAATGTGAAAATTATTTTATTATTTCAATACGAAAATACAAAAGTAATAAATAGTTTCTCAACGCCAATATTTGAAAAGTTTATATGAACATTGTACTGACCTTTTCATTTCGCCGGCAGTAAACTATAACTTAAATTCGGGCACGGACTCCACTGTAAAGTGCTCATAAAACATTTTCTTTACTTTCACTGTAAAAAACTGTCAATTTTCAAGAAATACATTTCGATTTATAACCTTTATAATTGTGTTTATAAAATACAAACATTTGACATTTGACGGTGAAATACAGATTCCCCTATTGTTTCTTAGATGGCGCTCAATTCAAATTTTTGATTTAAATAATTTTAAGATAATAATAAGTATTTGTCGTAGAAAAAGTATAGTATGCAACTCGTTTATAAACTTTTCTATACACTCATTAATTTAATCACTCGCTCGCAAGCTCGCTCGTGCCTAAATTAAATTCGTGTATAAAATGGCGTTTATTAGACTTGATACATAATATACTATTTCAATATTCTATAAGTAATTTAACGCCAATCTTCGACGTTTCCCAATTAACAATTTTAAGATAGGTAGGTACCTACTTTAATATATTGAGATAAAATAAAAGTTCTTAAAAAGTCACTTATTCTAATGCAAAATATTGGGTCAAAAAATGTTACTTTTCAATATTTCTGTAAAGAATTGATCTTAACTACCAATTTTTTTCGGAAAGCCGTTTCGTTGCTCTCAAAAATGCTCCAAGAATGCTAAACAAAATATGCTGTTGGTAAAAAAATATATATAATATTTTAATTAATTTGATATGAAAGTTAATAATCATTAATTATAATTAAATACCTAATACTAAAAAATGCATAGTACATTTATTTCGTACAAAATGTTTTATTGATGCTGCAAGGATCTATTTAGGAGGTTTATAAACCTCATAAATAGATCCTTGCAGCATTAATAAAAAATATAAATAATAGTAAAGCTTTTTAATAAAGAGATTTTTTTTGTTTTATAGCGTTCTTAAATGCTATAATAAAACTAAAAATATTACTTACTATAGTTATATAAAAGAGTGTAAGAATAATTGACTTTGTAACCTAGGACAAAATATCTTATCCAGCTTATTATCAAATATACAAAATCTACATCAAATTAAATAAGTAACAAGGAATTTCCACAACGTGTGGTTGAAATATATCGTATATGGAAATAAGTCTATGAATGCAGATATTTGCCATGTTAGAATGAACTGAAAAATGAAACATGGATAAGATAAAGTGTAGCTTATGATTGGATTATGGTAAAATTTGAATGTGTAATATTTAAGAAGTGATAAAATAAGCTAATGATTGGAAAAAATAACTTAAATTAAAAATGTATAAAGTATAAAGCTTATAAAGACTTTCCACTATTGTTACTTAAAATACATGCCTGTATAACTGTCTTTGTACTTTACAAACTTTTTTTAGGACAAGGCAATAAGACGAATTAAATCTAAATAATTAAATAATATTATAGGTGTATAATTCTTATCTACTTTTTTAATTTAACATAATAAGTACATTAAAGCCCAATTAAATGTTTACAAAGCAGCAAATTTTTATTTTTTCTTCAGCAGAGATTATCAACAATGGTAAGAAAGTCACAGTCACAAGCCACAGTTCGTTCTTAATGGTTTTAATCAATCAATCTGAAGTTCTTGTATGTATTTGTGTTTTGTTTGTTAAAATATTCAAATTTTAAACGCGTTTTTGGAAGTAATATATTCTTAATTTGGAAATCTTAGATAAGGTATGTAGGTACACAAATCTTTACTGTGCTTTACTGTCATTTAAAATTTGCTATGTTGCCAAATTGGTTCAAGCTTAAATCAGTGGATGTGCGTAAATCAGTTGATATAAATAAATCAACGTTTCTGCATACGGCCCTTAATAGAGCTTTAGGTGTAGTTTCAAAATTTCTAATTAAAACAATTAGGCCTCAGTGATAAAATTTTAACAACTTATTACCTACAACATGATAAAAAATGTTTTCTAAAATTTGTCAATTTTGAAAGTTTGTCCCTTATGATATATTAATGATATTTCACATCAAAAATACCCGATTTTAGATTAATCAATTGACTTGTTTCGAAACTTTGATGTCAATGAGGGTTGTGTTTTTTAAACCCACCAATAGGTGGCAACCTTTGAAATTCTGTATTTTTTAAGTTGTTTTGAAATGGAAGTAGTACCTATTCGTAGAGCAATAAATAAACTTAACTTTTAATATTTTGATTAGCATTTCTTTACAGTTTAAATAATATAAAATGTGTTTTTTAGGCTATTAAAATGATTGAAATAGCGCTACTGACAATAACTATTTTAATAGTGTATATGGTTCAAAATAAAAGCAGCGAAAAAGCATATAAAAACTTTTTCAACAATCCATACCCCTTTTGGATACCAATTATAGGAAATTCATATTTATTTTTTAAATCAAGTTTGTATAAATAATAAAAAATATTTGTTAAATCATTTTTGACATTTTTTAGATATATTAAAGGTAGTACAAAAGCATGCCAAATTATATGGAGATTCTTTTATAATGTATATACCTCATAGGACGTATTTTACATCAAAACCTGAAGACCTCAAAATTATTTTGAACCATCCAAATTGTTTGGATAAAAGTAAAGAATACGACCATTTGCAAATTATATTTGCAAATAGCCTTCTTCTTGTTCCAGGTAAATAATACATACGAAATTTTCGGGCTTTCCAGATTTTTGTGAAGGAACATTTTCATATTGCAACAAATGTTAGAAAAATTTGCTTACTATTATTTGGCTGCTAAAAGGTAGGACCCAGATAAAAACAGCAATCCTAACAAGAATTATTTTTTTATATAATTTTACACACTTTATAGCGGCGGAGCGTGATCACGCGTGGCTACCCGGTACTGACGAGGCCCAAAATTTAAATAGTTTTACTAAATTTGTACACTTCAAAAAATCAATTTTTGTCCAAAACATGTTTTTACCATTTTAGCGCAAAAGTGGAGAAAACAAAGAAAAATCCTATCGAAAAGTTTTAAACCATCTATTTTGGAATCATTTACAGATACATTCTATGAAAAAAGTTGTATATTAGTGGACCTTTTAAGGAAAGGACAAGATAAGAAACAGGATATTTGCTATTTGTTTCAAAAACTAACTTTGGATACATTTTGCGGTAATATGGAAAAATACACATTCTGTCAGAAAATAACCGTAAATATGTTATTAAAAAACGCTACGTTAAATATATTTAAAAAAAAAATGTAAGGTAGCACTGTAATATTTTTTTAACCTTAGACGATGAAAGATAGTGAAGGCGTAATCATGTCGTTTGTGTATTAAGAGCGCAAAGTGATCCATGCCGCTCTGAGCGAGAAGTTTGACGCGCGACGCGTAGTGGAGCGCGGCTATCTCGCGAGAGCGGCAATGTCAATTTGCGCTCGAATTACACACAGGATTTTTTTCTACACCCGCTGTTTCTATAAGAATGTTTGGTAAAAATAATTAATTATTGATAACCTCAAATTTGATGTTTGTGTCAAAAGTCGCAAATACCCTAAACGTTTCTTTATTATGGTTTCCATGGTAACTAAGCGAGCGACAAAGTAAAAAAACGCTCGCTTTCTTTTGGAAGCGCAAATTTGTACTTTTCGCTTGGTTGTAAAAAAAGTCAATTTTGAGGTTTTATTAATAATATAGATTTTTACCTGCATGTCAAAGGCTATTCCAGTTTCTTTCTTGTAACTATAATCAAAAGAGCTGCTACCTTACTATTTTTTTTAATTAAATACCTTTAACGCGAGTTTTTAAATGCCAAATTCCCTGTAATTATATTATATTATTATTAATTGAATAGGTGAGAATAAGAACAGTACAAGTCCAAAAGTTAAAATTCTGAGAAACTATTTCAAAAAAACAGTTTTATAGTTCTAAATGCATTTTTGTGGAAATATTTTAAATATTTTATAAAATATAATGTTCATATTCTGTAAAATGATTTATATCTTCTCACAAAAATGTATTTTGAACTTTAAAATTGTCAAAATTAAATTTTTGGACTTGTACTGTTCTTATTTTCACCGATTCAATTATAATCTATTTTTTTTATTTTATAGAGGCTACTTTGGGGGTTAAATCAACAATCTTACAAGACGAGGAGGAACATGTATTTGTTAAAGGTGTAACAGAGTTAGTATAGTAGAAAAAATAAAATAAACAAAAAAATTATATTATTTTTGCTTTAGAGTTCAACTCATAGCTTTTAGCAGAATAGCAAACCTCATAAAAATGAATGATTTTCTGTTTTCATTTATAAAAGATTTTAAAACTATAAAGCATCATATAAATGCTTGTAATCAACATATAAGCAAGGTAAAACTAAAACTTTAATTAACAGCAAGTAATGAAAAATCATTTACAGATTCTGACTGAAAAACGAAATTTAATGGTTATGAACAAAGGTATTTGAGTTTAAATTACTATACCTTTTTTTAAATAATTTAAATTATAGATATAATGTTAAACGTTAACAAGCTTCCCCTGTTGGATTTATTATTGCAAGTTTCGGAAAAAGAAGAATTAACAAATGAATATATAGAAAAAGAGATGTTTTTATTTGCAGGGGCAGTAAGTACATTGAATATTCATTTTCAAATGCC